TCAACGAGGTGCCCCACTTGACCGTAGCTCGCTCGGGCTGACCGCAGCGTCTGTGCAAATAAGTAGGCCCGGAATGAAGCCTGACTAGTAGTGATTTCAACATGATTGGACATTTTGCGGCCTCTGGGTCTCACAGAGACGCGCCGTTTTCGACTATCTCATCGGGGAGGTTGGGGTGGACAAGCCACAGAGTTATTCTAGCTGCGTGCAGCGCTTCATTCAGTCTGACCCATCCGAGTTGTTCCCATAGGATAACATGGGTATACATGTAATGCTCTAACTCTGCTCCTGTTTATGCAATTTGCAAAATTCCTTTTGCCACGTGATCAGGGTCACCTGTAGCTCCTCTGATATGAATATGAATATGAATACAGTACATGGTCCCCTTCATATACTAAAACAGAAGTATGACCTTTACCATCAACAAATGAACAGGGATGAAATAAAAAAAATGACAGGCTGAAATCAACACTGAGAGGCAAATGAATGGCATCACTGTTGTCTCTAGGCCGCTCCGAGTTCAACGATGTGCCCCACTTGACTGTAGCTCGCTCGGTCTGACCGCAGCGTCTGTGCAAATAAGGGGACTGGAGTTTTTCCTGAGTTGTAGTGATTTTAACATGATTTGACATATTTCGGCCTCTGGGTCACACAGAGACGCGCCGTTTTCGACTATCTCATCGGGGGGAGGTGGACAAGCCACAGTTATTGTAGCTGCGTGCGGCGCTCCATTCAGTCTGACCCATCCGAGTTGTTCCCATAGGATAACATGGGTATACATGTAATGCTCTAACTCTGCTCCTGTTTATGCAATTTGCAAAATTCCTTTTGCCACGTGTCCAGGGTCACCTTTAGCTCTTCTGATATGAATATGAATACAGTACATGGTCCCCTTCATATACTAAAACAGAAGTATGACCTATACTATTAACAAATGAACAGGGGTGAAAAAAAAAAAAACTAGCTTTCTGAAATCAACACTGAGAGGCAAATGGATGGCATCACTGTAATCTCGAGGCCGCTCCGAGTTCAACGAGGTGCCACACTTGACCGTAGCTCGCTTGGGCTGACGGCAGTGAGTGTGCAAACAAAAAAGGCCCAAAATGAAGCCTGACCTCAATTTATATGCTTTTGGGCCACAGCGAGAGAACCGTTGAGGCTAGAAACACAATTCAACCACAGGAACGCTCCTAAGGTCCTCCCGATCCGCGCAAGCCTACCTGTGACCATGTCGAATTAACCCTTAACAGTAACATCATGGTGCATTTATTCACACTCATTTCCCCATAGAAATACATTGCCTGCTGCCCTAACTTCAACTTGATGCCTATGTGGGTTTTGATTGCCATATCAAACTGTCTTCTTTGTCAACCCATCAGGCCACTATAAGGATTACCTGTGTTGAGTTTAAGCTTCCTGGAGCAACTGGAAGTGGTAAGATTGACCCTAAACATGGTTTAGATTGACCCAACCTGCAGATTGTGAAAACACTACATTCAACCCTCTGTAAAAATACGTTTAATTACAGCTTCCTGTGACAACCGGAAGTGCCTTAAAATGGGGTCATGGGTGCTGTTTCAAAGGGTTAAAAAGGTCACATCCTTCCAAAATGTCACGTGTGATTAGGCAACCCTCATGAACCGGTAATAAGCAGAAACCAGGTTTTTGTTCGTTTTTTTTTTGAGAGAACAGCCTACTCCATGGAACTATAGACCTCCAGGCCTCTAGGCCTACACCCCCTGCCCGGTCACTAGGTGCACTCCTGGTAACCCGTCCATCACTGTCACGATCGTCGTCAAGAGAGGAGGACCAAGGCGCAGCGTGATGAACGAACATGTTTATTTATCATTAGCGATAAACACGGACAGTAAACAAAAACGACTCGTAACGTCCTAGGTAACATAGACCAACACGGAACAAGAACCCACAAACACAAAGGGAAAAACAGACAGTTTAAATATGGCTCCCAATCAGAGACAACCAGCCACAGCTGACACTCGTTGCCTCTGATTGGGAGTCACTCAGGCCAACATAGAAATAAACAAACTAGAAAGAACACACCCTGGCTCAACATATAGAGTCCCAGAGCCAGGGTGTTACAGTACCCCCCCCCTAAAGGCGCGGACTGCGACCGCGCCTCAACTAGAGCAAAACAGGGGAGGGCTGGGTGGGCATTCCTCCTCGGCGGCGGTTCTGGCTCCGGCCTTGCCCACCACCCTCCAATAAACCCCCCATAGCGCCCCTGGTCCGGTCTGGCCCCGCTGGCTGGAGCCGAACTGGACGTAGCAGGAGCGGTTAGCTTCAGCTCCGTAGTGGAGCAGTTGACCGGTACCTTACCAGGCACCGGTGACCCAGGCACGGGTTGTGCTGGACTGACGACGCGCACCCCTGGCTTGGTGCGTGGAGCCGGAACGGGCCGGACCGGGCTGACGACTCGCACCCCTGGCTTGGTGCGTGGAGTAGGAACGGGCCGAACCGGGCTGACGACTCGCACCCCTGGCTTGGTGCGTGGAGTAGGAACGGGCCGGACCGGGCTGACGATGCGCACCCCTGGCTTGGTGCGTGGAGTAGGAACGGGCCGGACCGGGCTGACGATGCGCACCCCTGGCTTGGTGCGTGGAGTAGGAACAGGCCGGACCGGGCTGTCGACGCACACCGTAGGCTTGGTGCGAGGAGCAGGGACAGGCTGGACCAGGCTGACGACTCGCACCCCTAGCTTGGTGCGAGTGGCAGGAACAGGCCGGGCCGGGCTGGCGACGCGCACCGTGGGCTTGGTGCGAGTGGCAGGAACAGGCCGGACCGGGCTGGCAACGCACACCGTAGGCTTGGTGCGAGGAGCAGGGACAGGCCGGACCGGGCTGGCGACGCACACCATAGGCTTGGTGCGTGGAGCAGGGACAGGCCGGACCGGGCTGGCGACGCACACCGTAGGCTTGGTGCGTGGAGCAGGAACAGGCCGGACCGGGCTGGCGACGCACACCGTAGGCTTGGTGCGAGGAGCAGGGACAGGCCGGACCGGGCTGGCGACGCACACCGTAGGCTTGGTGCGAGGAGCAGGGACAGGCCGGGCCGGGCTGTGGAGACGGATAGGAGACCTGGAGTGAAGAGCTGCCACAACCCGTCCTGGCTGAATGCCTACCCTCACACACTCTGTGTGAGGCATCAGCACAGGACGTACAGGGCTGTGTACCCGTACTGGCATAACAGCACGTGACACTGGCGCAGGATATCCGGGACCGAGGAGAGGCACTGGAGGCCACGAGCGCTGAGCAGGCACACTCCGTCCTGGCTGCATGCCCACCTTCGCACAACACGTGCGGGGTGCTCGCACAGGACGTACAGGACTATGCCGGACCACTCGTGGCACAGAACGCCGCTCCGCATACCGCGGAACCTGCCCAGTCCCATGCTGCCATGCCTGAGTACGGGAAGTTGGTTCCGCTCTCCATCCAGGCTCCACCAACCTGCCTTCTGGCCCCCCAAACCCGGTGGCCTCCTCTCCAAATCGCCCTGTGGCAGCCTCCTGCTGCCCAGCCGCCCATGCCGTGTGCCCCCCCCTAAAATTGTTTTGGGGTTGCCTCTCGTCCGTCCGACGATGACACTGCTGACGCCGCTGCTCCTCTCTCGCCAGGGCCTTAATCCTAGCCCATGACCCTTTGCCCCCGAGCATGTCCTCCCAGGACCACGATTTGCCCACCTGGGCCATCGCCAACCTCTCCATCTCCTTTCCCGGCGCTTCCTCCCATGTCCAGTCTGCCTGCTCCTGGACACGCTGCTTGGTCCTTGTATGGTGGGTTCTTCTGTCACAATCGTCGTCAAGAGAGGAGGACCAAGGCGCAGCGTGATGAACGAACATGTTTATTTATCATTAGCGATAAACACGGACAGTAAACAAAAACGACTCGTAACGTCCTAGGTAACATAGACCAACACGGAACAAGAACCCACAAACACAAAGGGAAAAACAGACAGTTTAAATATGGCTCCCAATCAGAGACAACCAGCCACAGCTGACACTCGTTGCCTCTGATTGGGAGTCACTCAGGCCAACATAGAAATAAACAAACTAGAAAGAACACACCCTGGCTCAACATATAGAGTCCCAGAGCCAGGGTGTTACAATCACCAGGTGTACTCCTGGTAACCAGTCCGGTCACCCATGCCTGACAGCATGGATATGTGTTTTAGTGGGAGTAGTGTGTTTTGGAAATAGAATGCATTTGACTAGAGGCTGACAGCATAGGAGGGGTGACATCATTGTGACTGTTTTTTAAACAGAATGTGTTTGACTAGGAGCTGACAGCAAGGTGAGAGTTGGAGGAGTATTTTAGTGGGAGAAGAGCTTTTTTGAAATAGACTGTGTTTGACTAGAGCCTGACAGCATGGATGTGTGTTTTAGTGGGAGTAGTGTGTTTTGGAAATATAATGCTTTTGACTAGAGCCTGACAGCACAGGAGGGGTGACATCATTGTGACTGTTTTTGATACAGAATGTGTTTGACTAGGAGCTGACAGCAACGGAGGAGTTGGAGGTGTGTTGTAGTGGGAGGAGTGTGTTTTGGAAATAGAATGCTTTTGACTAGGAGCTGACAGCAAGGGAGGAGTTGGAGGTGTGTTTTAGTGGGAGGAGTGTGTTTTGGAAATAGAATGCTTTTGACTAGGAGCTGAAAGCAAGGGAGGGGTGACATCGTTGTGACTGTTTTTGAAACAGAATGCGTTTGACTAGGAGCTGACAGCAAGGGAGGAGTTGGAGGTGTGTTGTAGTGGGAGGAGTGTGTTTTGGAAATAGAATGCATTTGACTGGGAGCTGACAGCAAGGGAGGAGTGGAGGGAGTGGTCTCAGATGTGTTTATAAGCAGCAACTAAGCAGCCTGGAGCATTGTACTTTCTGGATAACTGAAGTGGTTGTGTAAAGGTTTCTATTTACTGTTATTTGACTTTTCAATTATATAGATGGTTCCAGTGCGTTCTCTATTTCGTTCATGTCCACTTTGCTTTAAGGTTGTGGTTGGCTTCAGTCAGCACCTAAGGCAAGTACACAACGTTCGGAACACTGAGGAGAGGATTCTCCTTTGTAATTGGCAGTCGGGCCGTGTCAATATCAGGCAGGAGCGGTGTCCAGTGACAGGATGCTCCACCCATGTCAGCAGGCTGGACCGGCATATGTACTCCCATACAGAGCTCAACAGAGCACAGAGGAGACGGGCTTTAGAGGAGGTGAAGAGACGTCTGACGATGGAGAGGCTGGCGGCATTGAGGGTGTCGATCCCTGCCAACCCATTGGCCACCGATTTTGATATTGTGGAGACTGTGAGGCAAGAAGAAGAGGAGGATAACTTTTTAGATACTTTTGCAGAGGAAGAGGAGGAAGAGGGCTGCACTAATGATTACTACCACTGCCAAGCACCACTTTTGAGGCTGCAGAAAGCTGTGCAAGAGAGGGATGAGGCCCTGACCAAGAAAAGTGAGACCATCATATCCATCAAAGAGGACAACCTGAAGCTGATCTCTGAGCTGCATAGAGGGAGGAAGAGGTACCAGCTACTGAAAAGGAAGATGGGGATTCTCAGGGTGAGTCCGGCAAAGGAGAGGTCGGCAAAGAGGTCCCTCAGCTTTCATGCCGAGGCAGACACAGCCCAAGAGGAGCTGCAGCTGGACCAAGTGACAGGTTCAGGGGACCAGACAGAGGAGGCTACAACGTCCGGATCTGGCAGCATACTTATCTTCCCGGGCTCTGCCATTAGTAAGTACTGTTTCTTTAAATAGTGGCAAGTGTTTGTGTTGGAAAGTTTTTTTTTTAAACAGCCTGACTGATTCATGTTGCCTCATGAGATTGTAATTATTGTCTAAAATGTTATGTTTCTTTGACAGGTGTGTTTCTTGAGGGATTCAGGAAGACCTGTGAGGGCCCCAATCCAAATTATAAACTAAGGGAAAATTGTGCTGGAAAGATCAAAAGGGTGACGCAATTTTTGAACTACATGGCGAAGGATGAGACCTACCAGTCCAATCTCCTTTTCCTCACTAACCATGACAAAATAAGGGGGTAAGCAGAGTTCTTTCTTTTTAGTCTCATCAGCGTTCATTAACTCTCTCGTTGTCCTAGGGTCAAAATGACCCGCCACTGTGTTGAACCAACTTTATTTAATTTTTATATTTTTTGGATCATTTGTGAGAAGGAGGCAGTGATACTTTCTTTAAAGTCTCACTGCCTCCTTCTCACAAATGATCCCAAAAATATTAAAATAAAATAAAGTTGGTTCAACACAGTGGCGGGTCATTTTGACCCTAGGACAACGGGAGGGTTAACAATGCAGTAATTGATTGTATGATGTGTGTGTGTGTGTGTGTGTGTGTGTGTATGTTATTTTTGATGGGTTCAATCCCTCCAAAAGACAAAGGCAATCACCACAGTCAACCACTACACCTTGACTGTCGGCGCCTTTCTTAAATATGCCGAGGAGACCCCTCCACCTGCATGCCGGCTGACGAAAAATCAATGGAAGGGGATCAACCAGTTGATGAAGGGGATCAACAAGTCCATGAAACGCCCAGTTTCCATTCACCAGGTAAAGGTTAAAGAGAGCAAGGAAGCCAAGGTGGTTTCCAGAAAGACCCTGCTGGAGTGCCAGTCTCTTGCCAAGGCCAATATCCCAGAAGTGCTGAGTAAGTGTTTCTAAATCTGTGATGTCACTGTTATTACACACTTATAAACGTCAGACATGTATAGAGTGCAGTGTGAAGATGCCTGTTATTATTTTCATGTCCCCCACAGAAACCTTGGAAGAAACAAGGACACAGAAAAATCAGTACCAGTTTTATGGATACCTGTGTGCCTATTTTACCTCCTTATACGGCCATAAACCGGGCCTGTATAAAAATATGTTGGTGAAGGAGGTGGAGGAGGCAAAATGTGACCAGTCTGGGATGTATCTCATCAGTGTAAGTCTTTAAACGTACACCTGAATGTGTTTATTTGTTTGTTTGGTTGGTTGGTTGTTTTTGGAAACAATTGCAGTCGCCTTTGCGTCATTTGTGTGTTTTTGTGTGTTTTTTTCTGTTCAATTTCTAATAGGTGGGGGAACACGAAACGAATAGAGACCATGGCATGGTCCAGATGTCGCTGACAAAGGATGAGTACACTTGGTTTTCAGACTTCCTCAAATTCAAGCACTGCCTCCCAGGGGGAAAGAAGTCCCAGCACTTCTTTTTCAATTCTACAAGCACTCAGCTCAAGAACCTGCCTGCCTACCTGAGGGAGGTGTGGAAGGAGATGGGTCTGCCTGAAACTCCTACCTTCACTGACCTGCGGACCTCCATTGTCACTCATGTAAATCAGATTAGATATGAATAGAAGTATTGTAAGATCCTATTCCACTGTTGTCTGAAATAATATCAATTTAAAAAAAATATTTGTGTGTGTGTGTGTGTCTTTTTTGCTTGTGTCTTACAGGTCAAAAACATGCTCCCGAAGGCTGACAGGGAAAGGGTGGCCAACTTCATGTGCCACGACATCCAGACGGCAGACAAATTTTATGCCATCAATTTAAATCCGGCCCAAGCCAGTGAAACCAGGGCACTCTTCCAGGCAGCACTAAAGGGAGAAGATACCTCTGTCGCCGCATAGAACCAGGCCTCCACCTCTTCAAAAAGAAAGCGGAAGGCGGGAGAGGAGGACTCCCTCTCCGAGGGGAGCACCACCCCCGAAAAGACCAAGGTGATGTACCAGTAGTCTGGCACGTCCTCCAGGGACTCGGAGGAGGAAGAGGTCGAGGATGAGGAACGGACGGCCAGACAACCTGTGGTAAGATCAGCTATTCCGACACCACACATTACATTACGAAAATGTGCTTGTATACCATGTAACAGTCAAACGTGCATTTTTATATATATATATATATATGTTCTCTTTTGTGTTTGCTGTGCCTGCAGACACCCTCCAAGTTGTCCATGCCTGAGCTGGAGCAGTACCATACCCCGAGCAAGAAGCAGCTGATCCGCAGGCGCCGCATGGTGGTCGCCCTCACCTCCCCCATTGTCACGATGCAAGGTATGCAGCAGCTGAATTCAAATAAAGACCGACTCAAAAAAGCAGCACCTCTTACCAAGACTCTTAAGGACTCTCTCACATTTACACTGTTCTAATTTTGTGTTGTGTGGTTTTCTATTTTAGTGTGCTTGCTCAGATCATAAAATATGTGTCATTTATTCAAACTGTCTAATATATTTTCCATGTTGGTGTGATTCTTTATAATGTTCCAAGGTTTGCTCTGTTTAATAAAACATTTTTTTGAGTAATTCATTGTGTTGTTGTGCTTTTTTTAAGGTTTGGATTTGCTTTGTGTCACTTATATTATATTCAACCTGCACTGTCTTGTCTTTATTGTCTGTGAATGTTGGTTAAAAAAATAATCTTAATTAATTTCTCTCTGTTATTTATCAGAGAGAAATTACTTAGGAAATAGTTAATTTCAAAACCTTCTCAGAGTGTGAACACAATGCAGCTGTCAACTAGGTTTATTGTTGGTTTGACTTAGTGTTTTCAGAGGTTTATGTCCTGAAATAATGGTGTTTTTTCAACTTGGTAGATTCATTTAGCACCTATATCCACTATATTCTTTTGTGTTACTTAACTAAGTTCATTTAAAAATAAGAATGCAATAACACATTAACACTACTTTACATGGAAGTCAGCAGGGCCACAAGGTAGAAGGCCCAAGTTAATAGGTGTGTCTGTGTGTGCCCCTGTGGAGGCTGGTCACTCTCTGAGGTCCAGACAGTAAGCTCTACTCTCAGGCCCATGGGAGAGAGGGTTTTAATAGGCAGAGAGTGTAGAAATAGATGCATGGAGGTCCAGGGAGTGAGCTGTACTCTCAGGCCCATGGGAGATGTCTTTTGAACAGGCAGGGAGTGCACAATTAGAGACATGGAGCTCCAGAGGTCACAAGGTCAATGTGGGCCTGCATGGAAGTCAGCTGGGCCACAAGGGTGCAACAGCTTTAACAGAATCCAACAGCCGAGTGTCGTTATAATGGACTTGTATGTTTGCCATATGAAATACAGCCTATGTCACTGTAACATACTGGCATTGGTAATGTTACATATGGCAAACGTACAAGTCCATTTGCAATACATTTCAATGGGCATTTATTATCACCAATTGGACTTGCTGTAACATGCTGTTAAAAAGCTTAAAAGCCAAATTTTCAAGATTATTGAACTCGGGCTGGCCAACAAATGATAGTGGATCCTCTCCCTTACTCATTGGTATTGATTTCAGCATGTCCATTTGGCTCATAATAAAGGCCCATTCAAACATATTCCAAATGTACTTGTACGTTTGCCAAATGAAACATTGCCAATGCCAATATGTTATACTGGCATTTGCTGTATTTCATATGGCAAATGGACCTTGTACGTTTGCCATATGGAACATTGCCAATGCCAACATGTTATACTGGCATTGGCAATATTTCATATGGCAAACGTACAAGTACATTTGGAATATGTTTGAATGGGCCTTTATTATGAGCCAAATGGACATGCTGAAATCAACACCAATGAGTAAGGGAGAGGTTCCACTGTCATTTCATGGCCAGCCTGAGTTCAATAATCTTGAAAGTTTGGCTTTTAAGCTTTGTAAGAGCATGTTACAGCATGTCCAATTGGTGGTTATAAATGCCCATTGTAGATATTGCTATTGGACAGTGTCCATTACACATCATTCATTACCAGTCATATTATGATGGAGACTGTCCCCTAGTCATATGTTTAAGCAGTGACTGACCATTACCAAATGGACATGCTGAAATCATCACCAATGAGTAAGGGAGAGGATCCACTATCATTTCTTGGCCAGCCCCAGTTGAGTAAGCTTTACATTTGTGCATTTCAGCTTTGTAAGAGCATATTACAGCATGTCCATTTGGCTCATAATAAAGGCCCATTCAAACTTATTGCAAATGTACTTGTACGTTTGCCATATGAAACATTGCCAATGCCAATATGTTATACTGGCATTGGCTGTATTTCATATGGCAAATGGACATTGTACATTTGCCATATGAAACATTGCCAATGCCAATATGTTATACTGGCATTGGCTGTATTTCATATTGCAAACGTACAAGTACATTTGGAATATGTTTGAATGGGCCTTTATTATGAGCCAAATGGACATGCTGAAATCAACACCAATGACTAAGGGAGAGGTTCCACTATCATTCGTTGGCCAGCCCGAGTTCAATAATCTTGAAAGTTTGGCTTTTAAGCTTTGTAAGAGCATGTTACAGCATGTCCAATTGGTGGTTATAAATGCCCATTGTAGATATTGCTATTGGACAGTGTCCATTACACATAAATCATTACCAGTCATATTATGATGGAGACTGTCCCCTAGTCATATGTTTAAGCAGTGACTGACCATTACCAACTGGATGTGCTGAAATCAACACCAATGAGTAAGGGAGAGGATCCACTATCATTTCTTGGCCAGCCCCAGTTGAGTAAGCTTTACATTTGTGCATTTCAGCTATGTAAGAGCATATTACAGCATGTCCATTTGGCTCATAATAAAGGCCCATTCAAACATATTGCAAATGTACTTGTACGTTTGCCATATGAAACATTGCCAATGCCAATATGTTATACTGGCATTGGCTGTATTTCATATTGCAAACGTACAAGTACATTTGGAATATGTTTGAATGGGCCTTTATTATGAGCCAAATGGACATGCTGAAATCAACACCAATGAGTAAGGGAGAGGACCCACTATCACTTCTAGGCCATCACGAGTTCAGTGAGCTTTACATTTGGGCAATTCAGCTTTGTAATAGCAAATTACAGCATGTCCAATTCATGATCCATTGTAAGATATTGCTATTACCCATAATTCATTGCCAGTCTTAACATGTTATACTGCAATTGGACAGTGTCCATTTGTCATGTGATGTATTGCCAGTGCCAACATGTCCAGTATAACAGGGATTTGAGGGGATTGAGGGAGTGGAACCTAACATACTGATATATATATACCATTTTGTCATTATACAGGCCATTTGGACATGGTTCACTTACTTTGGCTTTGGAACTGACTTCCTATGATCATATCTGGCAAATGGACATGACATACTGATTTGGTACTTTCAAGACTTACATATGCCATTTGGACATTTAATATGACATTTGGACATGGTTCTGACTTTTGGGTCCAGAACCCAACTTCCTGTGATCCGATGTGACAAAAGTACACTTTGTCCATTTGCAATATCATGTGTGACAAATGAACAACTTGTCCATTTGGCAGTGTAACATGCCTGATATGGACATTCCATAGGCCTAATGGACAAACCAACATATAATAAAACAAATCTATATCCATACGGTTCTTTAATAATGTATAATTGAGAAAAAATCGATGGATGTTATAGAAGGGTCCAGACACTTTTTTGTTGTTGCAATTTCACTTGTTTTTGAGAAACCTAACGCAATCAGTGATCCTTTGTAGCTCAGCTGGTAGAGCACGGCGCTTGTAACGCCAGGGTAGTGGGTTCGATCCCCGGGACCACCCATACACAAAAATGTATGCACGCATGACTGTAAATCGCTTTGGATAAAAGCGTCTGCTAAATGGCATATTATTATTATTCATTCATTTTATATTTTTACACTGTCTCTATGCACGCTCACAGGGCCCTACACACGCGCACACTAACTCACATAGGCCTACAATCATCATGTACGCTGCTGCTACTCTGTTTATCATATATCCTGATGCCTAGTCACCTTACCCCTACACATACTGTATCTACCTCTATCACTCCAGTTCCCTGCATATTGTAAATATGGTACTGGAACTGACTGACCCTGTATATAGTATGTTTACTTACTTTTTCGTGTTCTTATTTCTTATTTCTTATTTTTATTTCCTGTGTGTTTTTGTTCTACCTTATGTTATTTTTAGTATTACATCCTTATTGATTATGGCATTGTTCGGTTTAGACCTTACAAGAAAGGCATTTCACTGTACTTGTGCATTTGACATTAAAACTTGATACTTTCTCATCCTTGTTTTTCAGTACGGGGGCTCTGAAAAAACATGAACAAATGCTCCAAAAACACCCAAATACGTCCTTTTAGAAACTAAAATGCTGTCAGTATGGCATGAAATTGTGTCATTCCGAACTTTATATTCAAGTTTCTGCGACTCGGGCCACTTCCCCAATCCAGCTGTTCCATTCTCTGTGTAGCCTGCTGCTACAGGTAACTGCCAAAATGAAAGAAACACCAACATAAAGTGTCTTTATAGGGCATTGGGCCACCACAAGTCGCCAGAACAGCTTCAATGCGCCTTGGCATAGATTCTACAAGTGTCTGGAACTTCCTGTGTGGTAGCGCATGCTTTCAATATACTTTGTATCCCTCATTTACTCGCGCTTCTTTTATTTTGGCAGTTACATGTAGAACGGACGGAGAGGTATCACTCGAGTCTCAACAAAATTGAATCTAACGTTGTGGATAAAGTTAGGAATAACACAATTTAATGTGTACAACATGTGAAGACCTGCATCACTATACTTTTCTGTTTCTAAAAGTTTTTTTGGAGCCTTTGATCATGTTGTTTTCAGAGCCCCATAGTGCACAACAAGGATAAGGAAATTAATCATTGGCTGGGGGTAAGTTTCTCAAAAACAAGTGAAATCACATAAAAAGTGTCTGGACCCTTCTACAACACCATTTACATAACAAATAGAGGCTTGGTTGTAAAAAAGCAAAATACTCCTTTAAAGAAAAATTCATTCAAAAACTATTGTTTGGTATTTGTTTCATTAGTCCACTGTTGATAAAGTCCCAAAACGTAACGTTTTGCATGTCAGCAATCAAGTTTTCAAGACATAGAACTTTCAAAATACAGAAAGCTTCACAGTATTATGCGTTTTGCCCTAACCCTAACTATAATCCTTACATAACCCTACCAACTTTAATGAGGTACGGACGTCCCAAGGATTCCGGATAGCAAGGACCCTACTCCAACCTACAACAAGCATCCAGTGACTGCAAGTAACAAGTGGCAGACTAATAGGCCAGACCCTACTAACCTAACCCATTTGTCATTTCAGTTTAATAAACAAAACAAAAACGGATTAACTACAGATATCCCAATTCCCCCACTTATTTTGTCATTTTGTTTATATGAATGACACCAGACGTTTGAGCAATATTACGTTTATTGATTTGATATAAAACACACCAACAACATGATTGCAAATTAATGACTTAAACCATCCCTAAAAGCCAAATCACAACATTGATCCGACATGTTTTGTCCTGTCGTAGTCTGTATTAAACAAAGGAAAAACACCATACTGTATAGAAGACAGCCATTTCAAAGGTACATTTCCCCCCAGTTGAAAAGAAAAGCAGAGGCTGGATATTCAAACCATGCATTGTTTATATATGTCATTTAAAGGACACCCTGGCCAACAAAACTACACCAACAGAATGCAGATTTAGAAAGAGAATACCTCCACTTTAAATCTCTCCATAGACCTCTTTTTCTCTCTCAAATACAGAGATTACAGCAATTCCATAGCAATGAAAGACATCAATGAATTCAGCATTTTTACAATAGATAACTCTTAAATATACATATTTACAAAAAAACACAGGATAAAAAATAACACTCTCCTGAAATCCACCGTTTTACTTTAACTGTTTCACTGCGACCTACAACAATTCATGAATGACAACCCCAACACACAATTAGATCTGAAATTACATGGTGTCAATTTCCAACCAATAAGAGGGCTTGAGTGCAAAGAGAAAGGAGAAAATGAGTTTGATCATCCCACACATTTATATCCATGTGCATAAAGATTGAGCTGATTGAAGAGTATATTTATCTGATCTCTGTGTATCTAGGTAACAAACCCTGAGATACAGTATAAATTGAGATGAAAGAGGGCTGAGACACTGAAGAGAAGCACAAAGTATTCAGAGGAATGTGTACTAAATTAAATCAGACTAGAATTGATCTCCACATGAGCTTTCTGGCTGGTAGATGGGGCTGGTTACTGTGTTTCGATGGGACCGATGGAGAGGTTTAAGAGGTTTTTAAAAGACATTCAGTGTGTGTGTGTGTATGCGCATGCGTGTGTGTTTGCGCCTACATGTATGTGGTGTGTGCTTTGAGCCTCCTCTCCAAGTGATGCATGGTGATCAGACTGACTATCTCTCTGCAAAGGCAGACCAAGACACAGTTAGTTGGTGACAGTGGTTGGCTTCAGGGTGATACCTGCAACTGCCTGTGAAGAGGCGTTTACCACACCACCAAGTTATAGGAGGTCTGTGAACAGCACTCCTTTTACATAAGTTGTCTAGGGGACAAAATTGATGTTCATAGCCACCCCCTGAATGTAGATAGGTGTATACTACTCCTTTGGGTCCCCCTCTCATTCAGGCTGGGGGCTAGGGGTTGAGCCCCAGGAGAAGATGCTAGCCAGCCTGAAGCCTGAGTCCCTGCGATTGGGGTCGGGGAGGGTCAAGGTCTCTGGGGCTGACTTCTTCCTGGGCCGGTCCTTGGGCACGGAGAGGAACTCTGGAGGCTCCGTGGCGAGGGGGGTGGAGGGGGCGCTGGAGGGCCCGTTGCGGGCCACCGAGGCCAGGGGGTTCTCAGTGATGGAGATGGATGGGGGGAAGGGGCCGATCTTACGGTTGGTGGCCTCCTGGGTGGCCCGCTCGTACTCTCTCACCTCATCCATGGTCATTTCTTCAGGAGGGGAGAGAGAGGGAGATATTATAACCCCATGACATCTACTGTATGTCTTAACTGTATGTCTTAGCATTGTAGTGTAATAACAGAATTACATGATACAGTAAATACGTATCTGACTTCACCTGTTGGATTTAAAAGAGCTTACATTTCAAAGGCTCTGGGAGATGAATACAAGCAATACATGAAAAGGAGTTCCCTGCTCTGAACACAAATCTGAATTCAAAATCGGTTGTGTGTGTTCCAGAGGGGAGACAGTAACACAGTCTTCATCCTTGCTCACAAGTGTCTGTGCTTGTGTGTGTGTGTATCTGTGTACGTGTGTGTGTGTGTGTTAAATCAAATTGTATTTGTCACATGCTTTGTAAACAACATGTGTAGACTAACAGTGAAATGCTAACAGTGACTTTCTTACTTGTGTGTGTGTGCTTTGGTGTGTGTGTGTGTGTGTGTGCGTGTGTTTGGGTCCGTGCACGCGTTCTGTACTGTTCCGGTAGGACAAACAAAGCAAGTTCAATGCAGTAAACGACAATGCATGAACGTTTGAGTGTGTTTGAATGGATGACATGAAATGAGTCCGAGAGGAAGAGGGAGATGAGTCACCAGCAGACATTAGAGAAACAGTGAAGGTAGAGTGAAGACAAATGGCTGGCTGTCTCAAGGCTCTCTACCACGTCCAGTGAGTTTATGCTGTGGTTTGCTGTGGTTGTTGGACATTGCCAACTCTAATGTTGGTTTTGTCATGCATGTGTTTCTCGAAACTCCTGCACATCATCCCAAGTCATATCTGTGGAGAGGTTCCAGACCGCCACCGTGCCACCTGTTAGCTAGCTAGGGCACTTGGTGCAGGAGGTGCAAGGCCTTGTGGGAAGGGTCAGCAAGAGGTCGGGAGGTCACACAGCCATAAAGAGCTGGGGAAGTTGGCGTAGTCGGCGGGTAGTTAACCATTAGCGACAGACGCTTGATGGGCCAAAGCGGTGATAACATGGTCAAAGTAATCAAATGACAATTAGTTCAGGTGAAACTGCCCAATATTGTCTGCTTATACATTTAGAGTGCTGCTTTCCAGTCCAGAGCCGTGTTATGGGGAAGTGACTGTGCAATGAGAGAAAAACCAACAAATAGGGCCGGCAGGGTTTGTAACCAAAATAATTTTCCAATTGTTTCATTCTGAACAGAACCACTATTTTTTGGTTCCGCTCCAGTTTTCTGACCAGCATGATAAAGTTATGAACCCGTTCAAGCAAGTCCTGGTTATGAGCCCATAAATTAAGTCTAGTCCTGGAATAAAATTCACTTTCAATTGAGATTCTCAATTGAGAATGATTTAAATCAAAGACTTCACCTGGCTCAGGGAAACTGGCTCCTTTGTGATATAGCTTAAGTACTGGGAGGGTATGGATATGGGTTAAAGGTCCAATGCAGCCGTCTTTATCTCAATATCAAATAATTTTGGGGTAAAAGTATCTTACTGTAATTGTTTTCAATTAAAATTGTCAAAAATAAACAAAAATAGCTTCTTTGCAGGAGCAATTTCTCAAGCAAAAGTTTTGCTAGGACTGTCTGGGAGTGGTCTAAGTAAGGAGAACTGAAAACTAGCTGTAATTGGCAGAGAGTTTTGGAACTCTGTTTCTTATTGGTCTATTAACTAATTTACCACCTGGTGATATCACAAGGCAGGCCAAAACTCCATCCCACCTAAACAGGCTGACATTTCAGACAGCTCTTACACTAAAAGGGCATTATCATAATGTTCACAATTTCACAGTATTATTCCAACCTCATACACTCTTAGAAAGAAAGGTGGTATCTAGAACCTTAAAGGGTTCTTCGGCTGTCCCCATAGGAGAACCCTTTGAATAACCCTTTTTGGTTGCATGGTAGAACCCTTTTGGTTACAGGTAGAACCCTTTTGGGTTCCATGTAGAAGCCTTTCTACAGAGGGTACCTACCTACAACAAAAAAGGGTTGTACCTGGAACCAAAAAGGGATCTCTTATGGGGACAACTGAAGAACCCTTTTGGAACCCTTTTTTCTAAGTGTGTAGTGTGGAAATACACTGCTCAAAAAAAACTCCAAGTCAATCACACTTCTGTGAAATCAAACTGTCCACTTAGGAAGCAACACTGATTGACAATACATTTCACATGCTGTTGTGCAAATGGAATAGACAACAGGTGGAAATTATAGGCAATTAGCAAGACACCCCCAATAAAGGGCTGGTTTTGCAGGTGGTGACCACAGACCACTTCTCAGTTCCTATGCTTCCTGGCTGATGTTTTGGTCACTTTTGAATGCTGGCGGTGCTTTCACTCTAGTGGTAGCATGAGACAGAGTCTACAACCCACACAAGTGGCTCAGGTAGTGCAGCTCATCCAGGATGGCACATCAATGCGAGCTGTGGCAAGAAGGTTTGCTGTGTCTGTCAGCGTAGTGTCCAGAGCATGGAGGCGCTACCAGGAGACAGGCCAGTACATCAGGAGACGTGGAGGAGGCCGTAGGAGGGCAACAACCCAGCAGCAGGACTGCTACCTCCGCCTTTGTGCAAGGAGGAGCACTGCCAGAGCCCTGCAAAATGACCTCCAGCAGGCCACAAATGTGCATGTGTCTGTTAAAACGGTCAGAAACAGACTCCATGAGGGTGGTATGAGGGCCCCATGTCCACAGGTGGGGGTTGTGCTTACAGCCCAACACCGTGCAGGACGTTTGGCATTTGCCAGAGAACACCAAGATTGGCAAATTCGCCACTGGCGCCCTGTGCTCTTTACAGATGAAAGCAGGTTCACACTGAGCACGTGACAGACGTGACAGAGTCTGGAGACACCATGGAGAACGTTCTGCTGCCTGCAACATCCTCCAGCATGACCGGTTTGGCGATGGGTCAGTCATGGTGTGGGGCGGCATTTCTTTGGGTGGCCGCACAGCCCTCCATGTGCTCGCCAGAGGTAGCCTGACTGCCATTAGGTACCGAGATGAGATCCTCAGACCCCTTGTGAGACCATATGCTGGTGCGGTTGGCCCTGGGTTCCTCCTAATGCAAGACAATGCTAGACCTCATGTGGCTGGAGTGTGTCAGCAGTTCCTGCAAGAGGAAGGCATTGATGCTATGGACTGGCCCGCCCGTTCCCCAGACCTGAATCCAATTGAGCACATCTGGGACATCATGTCTCGCTCCATCCACCAATGCCACGTTGCACCACAGACTGTCCAGGAGTTGGCGGATGCTTTAGTCCAGGTCTGGGAGGAGATCCCTCAGGAGACCATCCGCCACCTCATCAGGAGCATGCCCAGGCGTTGTAGGGAGGTCATACAGGCACGTGGAGGCCACACACACTACTGAGCCTCATTTTGACTTGTTTTAAGGACATTACATCAAAGTTGGATCAGCCTGTAGTGTGGTTTTCCACTTTAATTTTGAGGGTGACTCCAAATCTAGACCTCCATGGGTTGATACATTTGATTTCCATTGATAATTTTTGTGTGATTTTGTTGTCAGCACATTCAACTATGTAAAGAAAAAAGTATTTCATACGATTATTTCATTCATTCAGATCTAGGATGTGTTATTTTAGTGTTCCCTTTATTTTTTTGAGCAGTGTATATATAAAACACAAGAAAATCATGTTTTTGACTGCACTGGGCCTTTAATGTGAAGTGGAGCAGCGCATTAGTGGGTGGACACAGGGTGGTTTGTTTTAGTGGTGGTTAATGGTAGAAGACACACTATAATATTATTAGACAAACCTTAGTAATGTAGGCTGTGGAAGACCACAATGCAAGGACGGAGGGAAGGACCACTGGTGTACAGCAGGGCCGTGTTCATTTTGGGCACACAACGTTTGAAATCGTTTTGCAACAGAAAATAAAACTTGTTTTTCTTATTGGACAGGTAGTCCATCTCTGATTCAGTTTATTTTTTTCCATTTGGTGCTGCTAAATGAATATGACCCAGATGATATACAGCCCACAGGAGGTTGGAGGCACCTTCACTGGGGAGGACGGGCTTGTGGTAATGACTGGAGCAGAATTAGTGGAATGGTATCAAATACATCAAACACATGGTTTAATTTACTCCATTCCAGCCATTATTATGAGCCGTCCTCCCCTCAGTGGCCTCCACTGATACAGCCACTTTCACTGAATCTCCCACAGCTCTTGGAGGAAGGGGGAAATGTGCCCACAAACAACGCAAGCTAGATTGACCTAAGGCTATAGTGCATCTACTGTGCTAGTTATGTACTGTATACTGGTTCATGTTGTATGTGAATAGGGGAAAGAGCAGGCTCTTGTGGTCTTAAATGTTCCTCTATCTTTAAAGTCAGGCTCAGTAAGTCCCAAATAAAATAGCTACTGACTCTCAGCATGCTCTCATGTTCTCTCATCCTATGACCCATACAGTACAGAGTCAAGTGCTCTCTGTATCTGTGTACAGATTCTCTGAATCATTATGTTGCAGTGGAAACATCTCAAGTGGCACCTTCTCTGATGAAGGCCAGCGAGAAAGCGTATTGGTTGTGAGAAATGGGCTTTATAAATACAATTAATCTATTGTTATTATAAAGAATGTTTATGTTCCTTTTCCATGACAATCGTGATGCGTCAGCTTTTCAAAAACACTTACAAAGTTAAGTACATAATTCAAAATGTACGAAAGAGTGGTCTGGCCTATCAATTGTCTTTAAAAAAAAAATACAGCTAAGAAATGTATCAACAGGATGAGAAGTGTAGTTTCAGTCAGATCTGCATTCAAATACTATTAGAAATGATTTGAAATAGTGTAGCTGTTTTTGATTGAGCTTGCCTGTTGCAATGGAACCAATAGAAACGTCTTGGAAGTACAAACCCCACCCACCTGGCCCTCCAGGCAGGTTAAAGCTTAAGGTATTTGAAAGATTTTAAATACTGTCGTATTTGAACTTAGGTCTTGTTGCAGTGTACCTTGTGTTTGACAAGCCTGGTCACACAGATCCATGTTATAAGCCTTTTGCTCATAGTGTTGAAACAGTGACGCAAATCAATGAAACAGTGAAGAAATGCTTAGACAAGAAATGCTCAGACTAAAAACATAATACAAAATAATGGTTATTAACACAAATCAATGCTTGTATTGATGGGTTACTGCTATTTTGAGAATGCTTTCAGGAAACAGACAAATGAACACAAACTCAAATATACAGATAGTAGATAGTAGCAGTGCTTGGTGTCGTGGCCTAGGTCCTACATTAGGCAGAGTGAAGATCATGGTCACATAGTAGTAGATAGTAGTTATGTGCCAGAGGCTGGTCTAGCAGGTAAAGGGGCCGCTGCAGCACATATACATCACCCCTCAGTGTGGGTAAGAATCCTGGCCTCAACACTACTCTGCATCTCCCTCCCTCTCTGTCTCCCTGCTCAATAAAATACAAATACTATGAAATATAGATCTATAATATATATATAAAAAAAATTGTGTGTCAACTAACTGGGACAGAGACAAGAAGCAAACTCACCAATCCACTCATCCACCCAGGCAAAGGCTTGTCTGTGTCCTAGGAGCAGGACGTCACGAATAACCTGAGGATGGAGACAGGAGGAGAAGGAAGGTAAAGAGGGAGAGTGAGAAGGAAAGAAAGAAGTCAGGAAAGAAAGTTAGTAGACATACTGTAGTGAGAGGACAGGTGAGTCAGAGACGTTGAACTTTAAGAGTTATTCTCTGTCTTCCTTCCACTCCTCCTCCAGTGAACGTTAGCCATGTGTGTCCCTGTATGAGTCATGGTGTGTGTGTGAGAGAGAGAGAGAGAGAGAGATAGTAATGGTTCTGCATTTGATGTCAGGGAGAGAAACCCTCAGGCAAGGAGAGGGACAGATCAGAGGGGGTACAGGGGTATAGGTAGGGGTGGGGGGGGCTATATTGAATTGAAGGGAGAGGAAATGGATGGCTGAGAAAGTTATATTGGTAGAGGGCAAGGAGTGAAGATCGCCAGTGTTGGTGTGTGTGTGTCTGCCTGTGCATCCCTGTATGTCTGTCTGTCTGTCTGCCTGCCTGCCTGTGCATCCCTGTCTGTCTGTCTGCCTGCCTGCCTGCCTGTGCATCCCTGTCTGTCTGTCTGCCTGCCTGTCTGTCTGCCTGCCTGCCTGTGCATCCCTGTCTGTCTGTCTGTCTGTCTGTCTGTCTGTCTGTCTGTCTGCCTGCCTGTGCATCCCTGTCTGTCTGTCTGCCTGCCTGCCTGTGCATCCCTGTCTGTCTGTGTGTGTGTGTGTGTGTGTGTGTGTGTGTGTGTGTGTGTGTGTGTGTGTGTGTGTGTGTGGATACAGAAATGGTGGGTAGACATAACTGGACTGACCTTGTGTACAAACTGCTCCACCCGTGTCTGAAGACCCCACACCTCGAACTTGACTGTCACCAGTTTGTAGGAGCACATGATGGGTTCCTGGCTGTCGATCCATCCCTCCTGCAGCACACCTCGGTCTGTCTTCTCTGATTTAAAGTACCGCAAGTCCTACGGGAACCATGGAAACACAATATGGACAGTATTAAAGCTACAGTCTGGGATTGGTAGATCTATTTTTGATATACTGACATTGATTCTTGAAGAATTTAACTAAAAAATACCTCATGAGCTTAGTGCCACTGTCTTACCCCATCATTATGTATCTTTATAGGAATGCAATTCAATTCCTAACCCAATGAGTTTCGCAGTAAACATCCTCACAAGCATGAATGAACCATGTTTTCTTTGTCCAGCAGTCCAGCAGAATGGATGGTAGGTACCAGGTGGGTACAAGTCTCATGGAGAGCTCAGCCTGGAGCTGCCCGCTGAGGGGTTTCTCGTTACAAACAGTACCCATTACGCATTCATTAATCACGCTTCCCTGGCAACTCATTATACTCTAATGGTCATTAGCAAGGAAGGTTGGGATGGTGAGAAGGGATGCGTTTCACACACACACATACGCACACACAAACACGCACGCAGGCACACTCACACGCTGTGCACAGGAGGATAAACTTGTGGAGGCACTTTGCAGATTGCAGAAGAGACGCGTCATAAAGTTTGGTTAGGTTGGGCCAAAGGGGGGGATAGAAGCTATTTGATGTGCACAGTGTGCCTTTCATGTGTTTCTTGATCATGTGACCTTACCAGGAGAGAACTCTGTGCCCTTGTTATGGAATGAGGACTAGATGGTATACAGCTACGAACAGAATTGACTTTATGTAGCAGGTTAGGAGAACTTACGCAGCAGGATAGGATAATGAACCTAGCAGGTTAGGAGAACTTACGCAGCAGGATAGGATAATGAACCTAGCAGGTTAGGAGAACTTACGCAGCAGGATAGGATAATAACCTAGCAGGTTAGGAGAATTTACGCAGCAGGTTAGGATAATAACCTAGCAGGTTAGGAGAATTTAAGCAGCAGGTTAGGATAATAACCTTGCAGGTTAGGAGAGCTTACGCAGCAGTATAGGATAATTAACCTAGCAGGTTAGGATAATTTACATAGCAGGTTAGGATAATTATGCAGCAGGTTAGGATAATTAACCTAGCAGGTTAGGAGAACTTACGCAGAAGGTTAAGATAATAACCTAGCAGGTTAGGAGAATTTACGCAGAAGGTTAGGATAATTATGCAGCAGGTTAGGATAATTAACCTAGCAGGTTAGGAGAACTTACGCAGCAGGTTAGGATAATTAACATAGCAGGTTAGGAGCATTAGGTTAAGGTTAGGACAATGGTTAGGTTTAAGGTTAGTTGAAATGCTACAATTCTCCCCGATTTTGACGATTTATGCGTCACTTTTGTCCGTAGCTGCATACCGTCTAGCCACAACCTTGTTATGGCCTAGAACCTAGAGTATTTGTTTATGTGGGCAGGAAAAACTTCTGACTATTTCTGTGAAGATGTGTGCTTTGAGCACATTACTGAGTTATATATCATTGTTCTGTGATAATGTGAAATAGGTCTGAATTAGGGTTGCAAAATTCCAGTAACTTTCCCAAAATTCCCAGGTTTTTCATAAATCCTGGTTGAAATAATCCAATTTTTAGTTGTTTATTCCCTCCTGATTCCAGGAATATTCCAACTGGGATTTCTGGAAAATCTGAGAATTTGGGGAAATGTACCAGAATGTTGCAGCCCTAGCTTAATGTAATAGTATGACCATCTGTCAAATTCATCACATTTGAACAATGCCAGGTAAAACGTTGCTGCAGTTTTCAACATATAAGACTGAGTCTATGCTCTCTTGAACACAGCAGGTATCAGAGATCTAAAAATGGCTCAGTTCAAATCAAATATACTTAAATAGGCTTGTTGGTACCCCCCTGTATATATAGCCTCCCTACTGTTTTTGTTGTTGTTTTATTTTTAAATAAATGCACTGTTGGTTAAGGGCTGTAAGTAAGCATTTCACTGTAATGTCTGCACCTGTTGTATTCGGCGCATGTGACCAATACAATTTGATTTGATTTGATTTGACATTATGTTGTATATCAGGAAAAAGCATGTTGTGGCTATTCTTAGCACAAGGGCATCAAATCCCGTCCTCCGGTCAAACATAAAAGACAGACCCATTGCTGTCCCCCTGACTCTAATAACAGACATGGAAGGGTCCTACCTGGAACCAAAATGGTTCTACCTGGAACCAAAAAAGGGTTCTTCAAAGAGTTATCCTATGGGGACAGCCAAATAACCCTTTTAGGTTCTAGATAGAAAGTTTTTTCTAAGATTGTATTCTCTTAGATATTTATCACCCTCTTACACTAACACGCCCCTCCCATACTCCATCTGATAACATACCATATTAAAAGGGCCCTGAGTTTTTCTGACTATGGCTAGTCAATCATCAATCACACTGCTCTCACCATAGGGTTTGATTAGATTAACTCTTTAACACACTGCAATTACAATAAAGCTCAATAGCTTTCCGGTGATACGGACAGGTTGCTAGCACCCAGAGTTGTTCCTAATCAGGTCACATGGTCAGGTAAAACTCAGGGCCTTAGCTATCGTCATCCCCTTACAGGTTTATTAAACTATGGGTCGGGACCCAAAGTGGGCCCTGGACATTTGAGAATAGGGTTGCAGTTATGAGAATACATCCATCCCCTCCTCCCCTTGCTCCTTCCAAAATGTACACTTCCACACTTTCTTGCATGGTTTTAACAATGGTGGAAACTCACGCCAGTCAATGCTTACACCAGTCATATGGTTTTAAATCCATGATGGTGAGTGTACAAGTGCACACTTGTACACAGAATTGTTACTGTCAATATCCACTGCTGCTGAAACAGTGATTTGGGATTCCTAACCCTTGATCCCTAACCTTTGACCTCCTCACCTCAGACTCCTTGTAGTAGCGCTCTGGGATCTCGTCATAGGCGATATCCACGAAGCACACCTCTATCTCCTCCTCCCCTTTGGGCTCGCTGTCAAAGATCTGAGGGATAGAGAAAAAGAGACGGGCACGTGTGAGGTCATTTTAGAGAGAGAGAGAGTGAGAGTGAGAGTGAGAGTGAGAGTGAGAGTGAGAGAGGGAGAGAGAGAGAGAGAGAGAGATAATCAACTGTTCTCCAAGTCTAAGATGCAGGGACCACCATGATGAGGATGTTGTATTTATTTCAGCAGCATCTTATCTATGTAAATATCAGTGATCTTAGGAATGAACGGTCATTCCCACAGCAGCCACTAGGTGGAGCTCTGATGTTTGGGTAAGGTGAGCGAGCGAGCATTGCATAACACTGATCGGCCAGAGCTGACAATCATTTAATCACAATGTTTGAAGGGGGAAAGCCAGGCTTTTAACGGTTATGAGTGCTTTACTCCTTTCCCCATTAAAATCATTAGACCTCGTAAGGTGACGGGTGCTTTTTAGCTCATTTAGCAGGAAGAAAGAAAGAAAGAAAGAAAGAAAGAAAGAAAGAAAGAAAGAAAGAAAGAAAGAAAGAAAGAAAGAAAGAAAGAAAGAAAGAAAGAAAGAAAGAAAGAAAGAAAGAAAGAAAGAAAGAAAGAAAGAAAGAAGAAAGAAGAAAGAAAGAAAGAAAGAAAGAAAGAAAGAAAGAAAGAAAGAAAGAAAGAAAGAAAGAAAGAAAGAAAGAAAGAAAGAAAGAAAGAAAGAAAGAAAGAAAGAAAGAAAGAGACAGAGTTGGTGCAGTTATAATCTCCTTCAAAAAGTTGAATAATCAGATCAAAAATCCATCCATTACTGACATCAATGTATTCATCTACCAACCTTTGCATGATAAGTAGACCGGGAGGATGAAACACTGATCTGAGTAATGATGTCTTTGAGAGTAGAGGAAGTAAAGCCTAGGGAAATTGGGGCATTGATGGGATGACTTTAAAATTCATCAAATACATACTTTAGTCTCAGGAATTAAGTCAGGGTCGTGTTCATTTAGGGATTACCTGGAAATGTCCAATAAGAAACGTTTATTTTGTTTTCTATAGCAAAACGTTTTAAAACAGTTTTCATTATGTCCTAATGAACACAACCCAGGACAGACCTAGGATAATTTATATTATATGACATAATGTAAATGTTGTGGAATGGTAATGTGAATATGTCCCCCACCAGGAAATTAGGTTTAGTGGTGAGAGGAACAAGAAGCAACAGTCCCTGTTTAAAGGACTGTATCAGACATGCAGACAGACCCACACAATATCACCCGATATCTTATTTCCTTTCTATGTTGCTGTTTTTCTTTATTCCCTTCTCTCTCTCTCTCTCTCTCTCTCTCTCTTCTGAATATCAGTCCTTCATACTGTACGGAATTAAAATGTGTAGTCAAGGAGCTGTAGGCAATCATCCCTTTCTCCCTGACATACCAACTTTCACAAAAAGAAGATGCAACAGCTGAAAGTAGTGCACTACATAGGGAATAGATTGTCATTTGAGGTGCAGATATGTAACAGAGTAAGACCTTAGTGTACAATACAGCTCATTTTAGCAGTCTGCCTGTCCGTCCATTTCATTAACTATGGATGTCCTTGACATGTCCTTCACACCAGAAGAAGGGGAATTAGTCATGAGTAAACCTATTGTGTAACATGATGCAATGTGCATCCGACAGCAAGCCCAACAAAGATGATAGATTATTGACTTGGTAACTCTCCTAACACAGAGGTATACAATATAAAAGCAAAGGGATGAAATTAAAAAAGATAATTGAAAGGGAGGATGTATTGCTAGAGAGATGTAGAGAGATGGGAATGGTTGGGAAAAGACTCTTAAGTAGAGATGATCAACCACCATGCACACACACTGCCTTTACCCCATAGTTATCCATGTGCATAAATCCATATCCAAGTTGATTCGATATGCTCCACATTGAAAGGAAACAGCAGGTTGGAGAAAGAACCACTTCCATTTGACTCAGAAGGCCTGGGCCCATATTCATGAAGCCTCTCGGATCTAGGAACAGTTTTGCCTTTTAGATCAAAATGAATAAGATCACATGGACAGGGGGGACCTGATCCTAGATCAGCACTCCTACTCTGAGATGCTGTATGAATATGGGCCCTGAAGCCCACAGACTGAATGGTAATCACATTGATCTCAGTGAGGGAGAGGCTAGCCAATGCAATAGACATGCATTCTGATGAGCTGGCTGGGACAATTAGCAGGCCATTGTGAATATATTAGACCAGTGTTCTTATTCGTCCCAGCATCCCCCTGTCCTGACTCCACCCACTCGTTTAGAAGTGAGAGACAGAAAAATAAGGGAATGTTGTATGCGGCATTCAAGTGCACACACATGCACAAAGGAACACACACGCACGCATGCACACACATACATACACGCACAGACACACACCATGACCATTCACAGACAACCATACTCACATTGTCATTGCTGCCTTTGTTGTCCTCATACTTGGTCTCTATGTGAATGGAGAACTTAGGCAGAAAGGAACACTAGAACAGAGGAAGATTCCACAGAGAATAGAGACACATTAAGACAATATTTTGACTTGGCATGTCTGAGTCCCAAATGGCACCATATTGTCTATGTAGAGTTTTTGACCAGGATGCACTATGTAGAACCTATAGTGGGCCCTGGTCAAAACATGCACTACATAGGCAATAGGGTGCCAACCTACATTTATAGTTGTCAAATCATAATCATCTACAAAAGGGTTTTGGAGCACTTGGGAAGCTGATCTCCATGGGAGAGTGGATAGAACGTTTCTACGACTATCCATACAAGCTCAGGAAAGACAGAGGGAACATCTCCCTGGGTCTTTGTGGTCATGCTGCAGGGTGAGGTGTTTTATGGGCAGTGTGTGTGAGTGTGTGTGTCACGCTGAATATGATTGTGTGTGTTTTATTGCCCCTGTCTGCAGAAATAATGATTATATTGCCCTGTGGATTTACTGGCTCCTCGTCACCTCGTCACCCCCTCACCTTCCCCCCATGGCTAGTCAAGTTTCTGTATGTGTGTGTGTGTTTCTGTATGTGTGTGTGTGTGTTTCTGTATGTGTGTGTGTGTGTTTCTGTATGTGTGTGTGTGTTTGTATGTCTCTTTAGAATAGAGAGAACGGGAAGGAATGAATAGGTCCACAGCGCAGCAGCATGGGGTGGGGCCCAGGCTATAGGCTTGCTGCAGGAGGTTATGTGTGTGTGTGTGTGTGTGTGTGTGTGTTTCTAGAGTGTGTGTGTTCACCTTATCTTCATCTGAACCAACATTATCTTCAGCACATCCATCCCTATTGTCTATATAAAAGAACATCTCTTGTCCTACACAACTACACAGCAGGAGACGCCTTCAATCCCTCCATTTCAACAGAGCAGTTTGGCACAATCTACTGACAGAATATCACACATCCAAGAACCCCATGTTGAACATGTTCACTGTAGTCAACTCCTGCTAACCAGCACACGTTCCATCTTTTCCATTCATTTAGCCTCATTAAAGCGCACGCACACTCTCACACACACCAGGTAAAGTGTTAAGTGCATTGTGTAACCGAGCAGCTCTCCTTTCATAATTTCAGTAAAAGCCCATACATGAATGAGGCAGTGTCCCAAATACCATCCTATTCCCTATGTAAAGCCCATAGGGCTCTGGTCAAAAGAAGTGCACTATATAGGGGAGAGGGTGCCATTTGGGACGCAGTCTGAGGTAGTAGAAGAAAAATAGTCAATGGCTAAATATGGAACCAGAACAATAGATGAAGCTGTCTGTAAAACCCATTGAAATATTATAGGCTAATTAATTAATTAATAATATTCCATATTGTAGTCTCTTTAATGACATTCAAAGCCTAATCACATTGAGCTTGTTGCTTTATAGAACCTCTAAGAGTCTAAGCCTATGGGGGGGGTGGGGTTCTACTAAGCTAACATATGGAATTGTTTTAAAAGATGGTCATACCATGGATCATTTAGCTATTTGATTTGGAATTGAAGGACCCACACAGCATTGCCATGGCTTTGTACTGCTACTCTGTTCATCTCTGAGTGTTGTCTATCTGTGGTAGATAGATTGTGAAGAGAGATATCACCACTGCAGCATTGCTCGGCTGCAGACTGGCTCGCCTGCAGCCTTCTCCCACCTCTCTATCAAAACCTTGTGTAGCAGAACTACTGTAGTGGAGGGTGAGATTGAGCAATCACATGTTTGACAAGGGGGAACCATTCACTGATTCAAAACAGAGATGGAATTCCACAGGAATAAAATGTTTAATACTCTTCTGTCCGTTATCGGAGCGCACGCGCCACGCTCACCTAACCCCTGACTTCTAGCAGACTGCTTTGCATGTCTTGTACTAATGAGGAGTGTGTGTGTGTGTGTAACATCAGTGGGATACTCACAGTGTACTCTGCGTCACAGCAGGAGTATAATCCAGGACCAGCAAGAGATGGAGCGAGCCAGAGAGGAGGGAGAAACAAGAGGAGAGAGAGGAGAGGGAGTTAAACAAGAGGAGAGAGAGAGAGAGAGAGAGAGAGAGAGAGAGAGAGAGAGAGAGAGAGAGAGAGAGGGGAGGGAGAGAGGAGATTTGCAAGAGAGGGGAAGGAGAGAGGAGTTAAACACATGAGTAGAGAGATATGAGATATAGTGGTATGTAAAACACAGACTTACGGAGCGTCGGAATAGAGGGACTTAAACACCTGTAGTCTATATAAAGAGAGATTTAATCTCTGGGAGATAGATACAAGCAATCATAAAAGGGACTCATACACGATGAATCTAAGATCTAGAAGCTTGGATAGAATCCAAGTGAGAGAGAGGAGAGCATCATCAAACTCCAAGTTTGTAAATGAGCAATACACCAAAGGCAGGCCAGGAGGCTTGTTTTCTTTTAGAGCTCTCTAATAATATGAGGCTCTCATCATGTCCTCCTCCATCCCTCCCTCCATCCATCCCTCCATCCATCCCTCCCAACAAGCTATTGTGATTCTTCTCTCGGAGGAAGTGTGTGTGTGCGTTTGTGTGTGG